CACACTGTTCTTTTTGTATCTTGAGGTCAGATATTCCACGGCACCTCCTTTCTAGCACCTTTGCGTAGACTTTACTTGGGAGGCTCAATAACGTAACGTCCAAATAATTGGAGCATTCCTTGTGGTCTCCCTTCTTGAATACGGGTACAATAATATCCGTTCTCCAGTCCGCTGGTGTCCTTCCCGCAGTCACCGCAGTTTGACAGACACGTGTAAGCCACCACATGCCTTGTTCACCTAATGCTTTGAGCATTTCAGGGCGGATTTCAACAATTCCACAAGCAATGCCACTTTCAAGTTTTTCATAGCTTGCGTAATTTCATCTACAGGGATTGTAATTATCCTTACCCTTCTGCTCTAAGGGCGAGTCTTATTGTGGTTGCGCATAACTAAGGAGTTCCTCAGAGTACTCCCTCCATCACCGAAGAATTTCATCATCCTTTGTAAGGTGTCCATACCTGCCCTTCAAGACTTTTAGACTGCTCTTCTTTTCTACTTTGAGTCGGCAGATGGTCTGCCAGAATACTTTTTTGTCGTGTGGAAATTCGACTCCAACCCTTCATCGACAAAGACGCTTAAGTCGTTGTGAAGGGAAGAAGTTGTCAGATAGTCCTAACTGCCTGGAAACAACACTACTTTGTCCAAGCAAGGTCGCTACAGTAGGCAGACGAAAGCTTCAATGCACTAATTTGCTTAACGCGTCAGCAGTGCTGCTGATTACCTATTAATTCGGTTTTCGGCTGGTTGTAGTGTTTGTTTTTACAGAAATTTTTTCATCACTGATAAAAAATAGCAGCGGTAAATAATGCTAGTTTTCCTAAAGCTCCGGAGCGGTTTCAGTTTTCTGGTCTCGTTACTTGTGATCTTTAGAAAGAGAACGATTCGCGAAATGGAATGACCAGCGGCCTTCTATTCGAACCGTTGTGACTAACGCAAAGCTGCGTCTAAAAGCTAAGCTGTATGTGTATTCAAGTGGTTCTTCATCTCCATGCTTCCGTATGGTCATGAGTCGCGGAACATAACTGAAAAAACTTCGATCCCAGATACAAGTGACTGAACACTTTCTGAGATGAATCGCTACATTCAGGCCTCTCGGATGGTCTTAAGTTTTGGTACATCTAGCAAATGCATTCAGAAAGTGACACAGCTACTTTTCGCTCAATCGACCGGCCAAAGTTTGGGGGGAGGGGAGGCCAAGAATCACCTGGAACCGGTGCCTCGACGGACTGCACCAGGGTCAGATTTCTTCTGCCGAAACCCAAACGCTGGTGTAGGATCGGTAACTTTAGAGGCTCTGTGTGACGTGTTTACTTCCGCGACCGGAAAGTTTAAACTGTCTTCGAAACTGACTGACACGATCATATGACATGCATAGGACATGCGTATACTTCGATTGTGTCTTTCTACACATGAGATAAG